ATGGCATCATTATTTCAGTTATATGCTAGGTACTAGGCCAGTCGAGTCTTAAGAGCTCTCTCAATTTTCATAGTATAACGGAGCCAATTAGGTGGATGTTTGGGACTGATAGTATCAGGTGCTGCGGTGTGGGCTCCAAGCACTGAACCTGCTCCACCATATCCCGGAATCCAGTGTATGTGCCTCTGTGTTGGTGTAGCACAATGCCAATAGATGGAAAAAAACTAATGTTGATACACAATATAACCGATAACATCTATCCACTACTTTGATTTTAATATGATCTCTTATCAAACTGAAATTAATATGCCCCGCTGTTATTCAGATGTTAAACGCACCATAACTATACGTTTACACTGTTGCGTGATAACTATCGTGTTGGGCCGGGGCTAGGGCTTGGCGTAACCTAATGGCGTGCTCACCAACTTACCACATAAAAACAAGTGTGTACTCGCAACTGTATTTACACAAACGTCGTGGTTAGTAGGTTGAGGCACACGTAGGTTATCGACAGGAGAAGTACAGAGTGTTCCGTTTTCGTTAACCCGGTCGTACGGAACTTCGTGAAAGTTAGCTTTTCCTTGAGGTCAGCCATTGTTACATTGTCCGTACTTTTTCCTATAAGCTTAGACATCGAGAATAACTCACAGCATTTCAGTAACCTTTCCGAAAACATGCTGGTGATTTGATGATTATGGGCTTTGCCAATTTTACAAACAGGGCTCCGCTTGTACAGCACTTCTAGTTGCAGTATTTTCACACAAGCTAGAGATGAGCAAGGCGGAAAAACACGTTCTTCATTTCATGGAGGCCAACCGCATAACAAAGCGAGTGAGTTCACAATGTCTTGCCTAAAATTTACACCAGAACTGGTTATTGTTCGAGATGAATAATGCAAGATAGTCACAGCAAGTGTACGTATTACAACTTTAGGTAAATTCACTCTGGTTAACGTTGCTTTCACGTATGCCCTCAAAACAAATAATGCTGACATTCAATTTGTGGTCACGTATACTTCTCCGTAAAATTTCCTCCGCAGAAGAGTACTTTTAATCTATAATCTACAGCTCAGGTAGTACCTAGAATTGCGATAATAACTACCATGTATGAACCTATTGGTCAAACAAAAGTATGTCAATAATTTCAGTAGGTTGCAACGCAAAACAATAATAATACTACCTAAATCTTAATAAGCATGTTCTTCCCATAACAAACTATATAATAGGATCTTTGGTGTTTGGACATTTTTGTGTTACATGGAAGAAACATATTTGTTGCCTGAAATTTTGTAATATTTCATAACGTCTACCGGAGCAAATTTACACGATTTGCTAGGAAAATAGAGTTTAGCTATAAACTTCATTATTTTCCTCTTTCCAGCACCGCGTCTTCGATTCTACTTGTGACATATATTGTCAACACTCGATAACCATATCACCCCTCTATGGAAATAAATCGATATGAAATATGTATACGCATCGACAATCAGAGGAGCATGCAGTTGTCGAATGTTTTGGTCCCAGTTAAGTGTGGGAGTAGCGAGTATATAATTCTGCACGCAGAGGGTAGGTTGCAGCGGATTATTGATGCAGTCCACGCAGAATAAATATTTCGTTGGTTGGATACGATTGATTCATCAAGCCAGCGGAGCGAGGGGTCTGTGTGTCGAAGCGGTATAAGGCTATTCTGTATGAAGCATTACGTAGATGGGACACATATCTGTCGGAATGAAAAAAGTTTGTCGGGTGATTAGAATCGGCGTGCAACGAGATGTAGAAGCAAGTGACCGGGGTCAGGAAGGAGCTAAGTTTGCAGCGGGGGAGATCAACATGCATCGCTTCATAGGAAAAGGCTCAAAATGAGGACAGAATTAAAGTTGTCTGTGCAAAAAGCAAATTTAGTTTGGGACATGGGTTTGCACAGACTGGAGTCAACGGGTGATAAGTATGGGGAGGGAACCTTATTTTTCTATAATGTGCTTGCTCGTAACTTTGGAAGTGTTTTACTTGTGTGTACCTAGCGTGCGTATTTTGAATCCGCTGTTGTTCTCTAGAAGGGACATCTGACGAGCCCCATGATATCTTACAAAATTAAGCTTATTTACTTCTGGCTCTTGGTTGAGTTCAAATTTTACAGTGATTTTTGCATGAAGTCATTTTAATAGCAATTATTAGCAAGGTACCTGGAAGCTTCTGGCAATATCAACGAATTATAATCCTGGATACTTACATCAAGTTTGTGATTTCGGACATGTTAGAAATCTAAAGGGTTAAGTCATTTACAATACTGAAAAATTAATTTGCATGTGCAGTGTAGAGCGAAGCACTATTTTACTTGTTCGAAAATTATACCACAGTAGCCAGACGGATGCATTTATCAAGATTTTAGGCAACTTTACCGCATCATAAAGCAAATCTTCAACGTACTATGGAATTCGTGCACAAGTAAACAACGGTTTATTCCGTTTCACCGTTTGACTATGGGGACCTACGTGGACACTAATATGGCAGTTGAGTTGTTTTGCCCAGAAAAGACATAGATGAATTGATAAAATAAACTGATTAGTTTGAAAGCTAAAACGAGTAAACAGTACCAGTTACGACATGTGTAGTTGGCGTTCGACACACTGGTGCCTATCAACTCAATACTATGGGAAATGACCAAAGCAAAAATTATAGCATTTACCAACAATCTCGAAGAGGCAAACTTGTTCAAAATAAATATCCAGTTTGAAATTAAATTTATGGCGATCAAGATTTATAATAACGTACCTATTGCAAAATAACTATCGCATTTAGTTTTCTAACAAAACTTCGAGCAAAGTCTGTACAGGACAAAGTCCGTTCGATCAGTTGTATACATAGTTACCGGGCATATAACAGCATATAGATTAATCGTGAAAATTTGCACTGCAACTGAAAAGGCCGGATATCATATGGCTAAACTCCTAGTATTATTTGACATACTGCAAATATATTCTCGAAATTTGGCAACGTTTAATGGTATCACGCGGCCAAATCACTAAACGTTGGTGGTTTTCATGAAATCAGTGCGATTAAGCTCAACAATTCACTTATATCTGAATAGCATTGTGATCATTTAGCCTCTATGATGCTATGATACTGAACTTATCTATAGTCATTATTTTGTTTATCTTGACAAACTTTTATATGAGTGTGTTGCTGTGAAACGATATGTTCTTGACCTGCAATTAACATACTTGTGGACCTTAGTCTTTCACCATCTAGACATAACCAAGTGCCATTGTTGTTAAACAAGTCAACTCCGTTTTAAAGTTGCATGAAAAATCAGTAGAAATGGTATTGCCATGATTTTTAGCGGGTAAAAATGCTTTACACAATTACTGTAGACTGACGATTGAGGACTACAATTAAAATAGCAATTTCCAGGCAAGGTCCATGCATCAAGTAGAAGGGTTACAAACGACGGCCTAGAAAGCTTAAGTACAGTTTTACGCTGCGCTGAAGCATGTTTGTCTTGTTTAATTTTAGACCATTTCAGCAGTGACAAAAGCGTTCATAAAGATAAGCAGATACATAGTAAAGAATAAAATTAGATGAATCATACAAGGCCAAGTACACATTTTAATGATCAACGAGGACACTTAAAGTTAATATAACGAACAAATAAATCATTTTCTCAAATGCTTGGTATATCGCTCAATTACACCACCTAGTTCTCATTCTTCTAAACGTTCAGGTTAAGAACTGTGCTGCTAACGTTCTTCGAGAGACCTGGCTGCTGTATAAAAACGCTAAACTTATGCCGCATTTCAACCGACGTCGAGTCCGTGCACATCAAAGGAAATTTCTACAAGCAATCTACAGGTATATCTATAATTGAGGATTTTCATGAGTATCCTGTAATGTGTTTATACAGTGATAGTGGCTACCAAGTCGTTCATCAGAGTTGACTTGTCTCAGAACAATAAGTAATATACATTCAGCTTTCCCAAAGTCTATGTAGTGTGACATTAAGTGGCTTGTGCAATCTCATCCGGTTATGTGCAAGCGTCATGCTAATTTTGAAAAAAGGGACTTGGATACTTTAAGATTGCCTGATTTATCGCGCATTCTTGCCAACGCGTGAATTTTATAATGCTTCTTGGGTTTTATGCAAATTTGTGTTCTGTTTGGGCGCCACCACAAACTACTTAAATCCATTTTATTATGCATCCGTGTAGGAACACTTTGGGACTCAATACGCATTTCACGTTATTATTCAGTTTACTCTGTCTGAGTTGACCATCTTCAGCGCAAGCATGTCAACAACGTGTCACCTGAAACAATTGCAAATGTGTGATAAATTGGACGGAAATTAGCTCAGTTACGATCGGTTGGATGCTTGTATCCCTCATTGCATGATGGTGTTAATCATCTAAACTATGCTGTTCCGACCGTTCTAACCGTTTTTGCCTGCATTAGGCTTTATAGAATTACGACAAAATGCTTGTCTTGCTTAGTGATGACGCGTAAAACACTAGGCTCGATATCTTGAGACATGCAGATTTCTTTGCAAATTTATCAGATAAAAATACTCAAGTCTTTCAACTTTGTTAAGTGCATGTATGGTGGGAGCAACTTATCGGCAAGTAAAATAGTCCATAAATTGTCATTTTTTGCAAGGTGTACTGGAGATTATTCCGTTGATAATCAGTTATGGGGTTCTTTTCAGTATAGCATGTCTGGTATTCTGTAGATTTCGGAGCAGCATTAGGCAACCAATACTTTAAAAACATTGTTGATATTTGCCACAAACCTCTGTCAGACTATATATATTTCAAATGCATTAGATGGTGCATTCACGGGAGTAACTTAGAATGCACTCAGGTCATGAAGCTTCTGATCGAAATACTACCGATATTCACAATGACGTTGAGAATCACGAAATAGACCATGAGAATTTCCTTCTATGACAAACTTGTAATTAATGGACATACCATGTGCGCATATAAAATTATAAACTAACGTCATTGCGTTATCGGGAAAAGGAATGACAGCTTCAGCCAATGCACGAACTTCCAAGACGTTTTCACAAACTTTTCTGATCAAAGGATATGTTAAACATGAGACGATAATTATTTCTCACATATGTATGAGACCATTAACTTTAATATGGCATATAGTGTTTATAAATATCGAGGACTAAAATAAAGTCTAGTAATAACACAAAATTGGCTTTTTATATCAAAATGCACCTAGCCCCGGAAAGAGACTACTTAACATGATTGCTTTCTCTCCATAAACCGATACGTTACTTCGTATGAAACGGAAATAAGTGCCTGATCTTTATTATTTAAGTTTTATTTAAAATAATAGTGGCTTCTCCTTACACAGTGATCCCCCAAAATCCTTATATCATCTGATAGTTTTAGTTAACATTGAATTGCATATACGTCTTATTTACACAGCCCTTCATTTTGGCACCTATACTAATTAAGATAAATTTATTTTTATTTTCACCGATGTAAAATGTAATAATCTGTAAAGTATGGAATATGCATGACAAGTTAGAAATCACAAAGCTGTCTTCCACACCTAACGAAATTTGTGAGGTAAGACATTTGCGGTGATATTATGTAAATCTTAAAAAGTGCTGTATAAAATTTACCTACTAGTCTCTGTTCCTTATTATTAGCTTACGTACAAGCAAAGTAAAACAACGGGAGCTACAGGACAAATCGGATTCTCTAGTCGACCTAGCAAAGGTGAGTTTTCCCAGACTACTGCAATTAAATTATGAATGCCAAAAAGTGTACAAATATGCAAAGTGAAATGCATAGTTTCCACTTTAATCCAAGCAAAAACCTGTAACAAAGATAACTCCCCGGTTTGCTTAAGGTAAATTGACTGAGAGGAAAATGATTCTTCTATTCTTGAGTTGTTTATCCATGACAACTGTTGTGTATAAATCAGCTTTAAGGAGACTGCCCAAACGGTGAATATCACTACATTTCTCGTTTACTTACCTGTTTTTTGGTGTGACTAGCAATTCATAGGTTCTGTTATCCGCATGCGTACTGACCACCGTTCAGGTCATCAAAATATAGCCAGACAATGCTGTCATATTAAGAAAAATAAGTTACATATATGCTAGTACACTGGAAACAAGACTACGTTAGCTTTCTTGCAGAAGCAGCCCTCAGGATTCCAAAGGCATATACTCCGTGCTAAACATGTGATGTGAATACTTTTGATCTCTTTAGTCGGCAGTGACGTATATACGTTTCCTTCGAGCGCAATTGCAGTACGATGGCTTAGGGTTCATCTTATGCGTCATAGTAGATAGTGGTGTAAGTTATCAAATAACGCGGAAGATGTTTTCTTTATGCTCAGATTTACTGATACAAAATTTTCAAAAGTCATGGTAGGGATTGTTTTTATGAAATTTTGTATTAGTACGCTAGTACTTAAAACAGAGTCATTTCACATAAACACTTATTTTCAAAAATGAATATTGGAGTAACCATGTATTTACCATGACAACAGTATGAACAGAGCTGAATAAGGGATTTAGCTATGACTTTTATAGCCAAGCTGCTAAACGTCATAAGTATCAGCTTGACACCCAATGGTAGATACCGAACCATCATCAGCTGACGAATTTGTGAAACGCTTCAATTTTTATATGCATTGGTATCATTACGCAAATTTCTGTAGCTCTAATGAGCAAATTTGTTAAAGAAGACAATCTTGACTTGAGAACAAACTAAAGCATCCTATCCTACAGATTCTCTTCTCAGTAAGCGTCATTTATTTGTGGGGTAGTCGGTTCCTCGTTGTTTCAATCATTCTGAAAGACAGACCAAACAGTTTAAACTGTGCGGCCACGGGAATTTCATAATGATATTATCCATAGCAAGAATTTATCAACACACCGCGCACACCTCTATTCCAGAGATGTACTCAATCATCGTAAGGAAATTTACTAACCTGCTAACTTATCAATGTTTGCGGTTTAATCAAAGCTTATGCATTGGCAGTATTTCCAGAATTCAGGAAAAAGCCACCACTCCATCACTACATGCAATTACTGTGGGTCTGCAGCAAACTGACATAATTATGCTTTTTCCAGACGTCGGGTAATCATTTCAACCACTCGAGAAGTGGCGAAAAAACGTGTCTTACAACAGTGTTATTCCAAGTCCAGCTTTGTCCAAAGCTGGTATATCTACTTATGATATTTACCGCACATAACCTCTAGATAATGCTGACCAATCTCATGCAAAATCTGCGCTTCGTGTATAAATACCAGACAAGGGTGTACGAGAACGTTGTCCAAAAACGGTCCTAATTTTCATCGAACATTTCCTGACTAGTAGCATTATAGATGCCATAACAGCCAAAAAAGCAATAAATATATTTTACCAATCAAGTTGTTATACTCATAGAATTTTTACGTTTGCTGCGGTATTGCTGTCATTAAAGTATTACACTTGTTAACCTTTCGATTGTGTATATAATACAGATGAAATTTTATCTATCCTGGTATATAGCAGCACCTTTGGCTCGCTTTGGCCATCTTTAACAATCACATTATATTGCACCACACCGTGTATTATGGTGTGCAGAGTAGTATTAAGAGCAACCATCTGTTGCTTCAGTTCATTGAGGCAAATGCGATGAAGCAATATCAAAAAGGATATGAGCTCATGGAAACGCTACCATATCCAACTGTTATTATATCTTCCACCTACCCATACAGTTACGAAAATTTATCCAACATATACCGTCATTCCTCCCGTATAAGTGCACCAAACATAGTGCTCTTTACAGTAGGTAAAAGCAAAGCAAAAATGCCGAGATCATATGTTGAGGCCTTTTATACTGTTTGCTTTTCCCATTAGCTTCAAACCAATGTATTCGAGGGAGTAGCAGATATTGCGCTGAGACAAGACGCTTTTCAACAGCAGCTAGACAATATCGAGAGGAACCTGACGGAACTAAAGGTAAGGTTGTATATGCGTGAGGCAGCGTTATTTGTGTCTCTCAGGGCATTACTAGAAGGAAAACCACTTCGTAAAACACAATTCATTCCTTGCTTTTTACTTTAAACATAGGGAATAACGATACTACCGTCAGGAGATACACACAATATTCAAGGTTGTTAATTCACCTGATGCATCCCAGTTGGTTTAACAACACATTTTCTAAGTTTAAAATTGAATCCTTCATGTAGTTACCCCCTTTTTAGTAATTATTACCAAAAGCAAGCACTTCGTGTATCTGTCCCTTCAGCTATGCCTGTGTTCCCCTAGTGTTCTTTACAGTGCAATTCTTCACTACTTGTTAGAACCACGTTGTGTTTAGCGGACATTTTGATGTATGGTTTGTATCTGATTGAACTTAAACGCTGCGCTAAGCAGCTGAACATAGACTGCCGAAATTATTGGAGTTAAATCAGAGAGGATCAAATTTGCTAATTAGCCCAGAAAATTCCAGCGGTATAACGATCAGAATAATAATAAGCATTATGACTTTAATTAAAATCCACTACTACCAACATTATGGACTGACAAATTCATGCATTTAACATCAACCAAAACAAATAGTAAAACTAATGAAGGAGATGTAGCTGGTGGTGTATTTACATAAACATTATCGACGCGTTGCAACAAGCAGGTTTATGGAATACCCAAGTTAAATTGGTCAAAATAGATTCATGTTCCGCGGAGTTAGATATTCTAGGGTGATAAGACGCTGAAATAATGTTTTTTTGCAAAGTAGATGATATGGTCCTCCATAGTTATCTGTCAGTGTGAATGTGAACAGGCGCGAAGCGCAGGCATCTTCAGCGAAGACGTGGTTAGACCTCACTGTACGGTTCGCGAGTGAATCCACACAGTCCAATACGCTTGCAAAACGGAAATAATGAGGCCAAAATACGTATAGGTGAGACATTGTTGGTCCCAAGCAAAATCCCGAGGCGACCAATTGTACAACTGTTGTTGAAGAACCAGAACCAAAACAATCAATTTAACAATGAAAAATGACAAATGATTTGTCACGGCATGAAAGCAGGTGCTTGACAGATCCCTTAGGATAATTGGGGTGAATGCAATGAAAAATCTATTGAGTCATCTCCTCAACGTCTAACAAGATGAATGCGTTGGTAAAAAACATAAGGGTAAAAGTAACGTCGAATGTAAGCATAGTGGAATACACCGGTGCAATGATAGTTTACGTAAAGCATAAGAAAAGTAAAATCTGGTAGCTTACTCATGCACCTCCACCTTGGGTTTATGTGATACATTAATCCGGTAGAAGTGCTTGATTGACATAATTCAAAATAGCATACTTTAGGTTACGATGTGCTGGGAGCCAAGAGCAAAATCCAACGTTTTTTGAAGATAGACAAGGCAAGGGAGATAAAATTGAGTTGCGTGAGTAGCAATTTCGTCAGTCTTGAAGAAAAAACTAATTCCGTCGTCACTCTGGACGGCTTTACTGCTCAGACAGTTGCAAACCTTACCAGAGATGAGTGTTGTGGCTATGTTTCTGCAAATGGCAGTGTACGGGGTTTGGGTCACAAAACATTTGTTCTTTAATATTAAATTGCCGCACAGCGTTCGGTAGCTTCCGCTGAAGACTCCCAGCTACTGCAAAAAGTGATTGTGTAGACTCCTAAAATTCGTTTTGCCTTTCGTTGCGGTGTCTTTAACGCCACAAGATCTCGCTTCAACCAAGTTTGTCAAGCTTGGATGGCATATTTCACTCGCATGCGCGCTTAGGAATTGTGAATCATTTGGAAGGTTGATGGACTAAATCTCATAAATGCGCTTCACAGCAGATCGATGTGTTGGGTACACCTATTCGCAGTTAATTCAGCTTGTAATAAACAGTTGGGGTCACTCTGTCTGAGCACACCAAGGTCACGTTCCTGGAAGCTTGTCTGCAATCAATGTGTCCCAAGCCAATACATGTAGTCATATCTATGGCGTAATCGCACAGCACGACATTTGTCTACATTGTATGGTAGAACATTCTGACTGACCAGTCCGAAGTCGTTTCAAGATCGTACTGCAGCCCTTCATGGTCGTAAATACTCTAGTCGCTCGCTTTATATTGCTAACAACTGCTCAAATGAGGAAAACAAAAGCAACTGATCTCGTTACATCGTTCGTGAATACTAAGAATGAATGAGGATCCAGCAAATAGTATTGTGGCACACGGCATTTCACAGTACTTGTACCTGAGAGGGATTCCCGGACTCAAAAATCCAACCAAATTTGTGTAGATAATTATTTATCCAACTCAAAATTGAGTCAACCATGCCATATTTCTAAAGTTTGTGAAGTTGATGACCTAAGCGATTAGACGCCTTCTTACAGTCCAGACAGATTAATTCGACTGCTGCTCCATAATCAATTTCTTCAGTCCAATTGTTACTTGACATTTTTAAGTAGTAAAGGAATGCTTTCGACGGAAGCCACAGTTCCCCGGGGCTATCAAATTGTGGTTCTCCAAATATCGCATCAACGCATCTGCAATGTTTGAAGGGGGTTCGGGTCTACGCCGTTCCAGCTAATGTTTGGTGACGGGGCTCCAGGACGTGGTGGGTTTTTGCCTGGCAAACGTCCTTCCTAGAAAAAGCCACTAATGTCCGTTTAACAGCACTGCGACAAGGCGGATGTGACTCGCATCTAACTAAGGACACGGACCAATGGTTACCAAGCCAACCACACTCCCACCAATCATCCCCTATCATACTATCCATGCGATCAATTAAAAATTCAATTCACTTCAATTAAAATTCAAACTCGAATAACAGCTACACACATGCACTCCCACATACAAGTATGAACTCACAGCTCCAATGTTCATGGCTAAATTGCACCATTATTTATGCCTTTCCCAACATTTAGTTGTACCTTCAACATGATCATGCCTACAAAGCCGTGTCTCGCATTGTCCGAGAATTAAGAATATATTAACTTATAAATTTAGAATCACAAGAGATGGCTTTATTGAACGAAAATTGGTAGAAGCGATAATCTCTTGCTTTCAAACTGGTAAAACTTGATTCTTTGGTAGACAACGCTGATAAAAAAGACCAGTGGTTTTGCTATATCACTGATTGCTGACTGCAGAGCGTCGATTGATTAAATTCATTCAGACTACAAGGCGCGGCAGCGTTTTCCAGATCAGGATGTCCACTCTTACTTCGCTCTGTCCTACTATGTGCTGTTGCTGCTGTTGCCTAGAGCTCTCCAGAAGATGTAGAGGACAAAGAATTTGCAGCGGTTGAAGTTCCATCGAAATGCTGGCAACTCGTGGCCGTGCGCCTGCTGCCTTTAGCCGAATCTCGGCTGGCAACCTGGTAAAATGAACATCACGTGAAATATTGCCTCGGTGTAACACCAATTTCATTACTATTGTACCACGTTCCTTGTGGTTACCTGATGAATTAATTCTTATCAACGGTTTACCAATAACACTGCTCACCGTCATTTGTTTGCGCCCCGTGAACAAGAGAATCTGTAAGTTCGAGAAAACCATGAAAATATGGTTTTCTTGCTATCTATACAAGCAAGGCCACCTTGGTTAACAGTTTCCTTTAGGCGATCTTTCCAAGTAAGATACAGGAAAATGCGTACCTCAATTGGGTTGCGAGATGAACTGCTGTGAGCAGGAGAGCCTCTACCTCATCTGCTGAGTCTAGATGTAGAGAAGAATTCGAGGTTCATCATGGCGCGCTGAGGTTGGGTGACACTTTGCTAGTCTCAGCATGCTAAGCTCAGACCGAAGACCAATTACATCGCAGATGGAATTCCACTGGTTTCAGCCATCTCGCAATTGGCTTTTTTAATGTGCAGAATTTGGGCTCTGGAACGTTAATGCACACGGGAGTTAACTCACCGTGATTCTGTCTAGCAAACATCGGTTTGAGAGTTGTTGCTGGTAACTTGAACTTTTTATGATGCGTCATTGGATTTGGCGTTGAAAGCTGCGTCGCCCGCGGTGGCTCGACGCAGATCTACGTTTGTCGCTGCTTGTGCGTTTACTGAGTAGACCGATGGGTGTGTCAACCAATTTTTAGTAACACCGCATTATCTCCGCTTTTGAATTGCCGGTTTCATGACTGAATCTCTAGGTGAAGCTTCAATGAATGAGGTAATGACCTACAAGTCAAAAGTGCCTTGCCCAATTAAGGGGTTTTGGTTGTGTCGTAATAAGTGGCCAGATAGTGTGAAGTGGTTTGCAAGACTGAATTTGCGCCTTAGCATAGGGCTGTGACTCAAATTGGGTTGCTGTTGGACAGGATCGATCGTTTTCGATTTCAATTAGTGCGGTTAATTTTCCGCAATGTTTCGTTAGCACAGCTACGCAACTAAAAGGTGGAATCGGTTTGCATACCCAGCGCATCCGTCACCTTTTTGAGCCACTTTAATTATACCTAACTTATGTCACCACATTTAGCTTAGAATGCAAACCCGCAGTTTGTGCAGGTCAGAATATTCCTAGCCATGCGGGTACATTTGGGCTCTGCACATTTGCTGCTAAGTGGGACAAATTTCAGTGCCGACTGTAGCAGCAATCTAACTCCTCGCCTGTTCCATCCCGTGACGTTAAAGCTGAGCGATTCTCAACTTCGTTGTCATAGTCGCGCTGTTGACATCCGTCAGTGTTGGCGGGTTTGTCACCAAGACGACGCCCACGCAGGTGATGTTTGCTTCAAGACCGATTAACGGTGGTTCGTGTGGGATTAGGCTCGTTAACCTTATTTGTAGTGGGTGGATGCCAGCGGCTGTAACCGATGGACGAATGTAATCAAAATGAGGTCGTAGGATCAAGAAAAATGGTTCTATATGGGAAAGTTTTGGATCAACAGACAACTCAGGGGAGCCTTTATCGAATGTAATTTCGTGGCCTTGAGAATTGTTAAAAACATAGTTGAACACATAAAACTGATTGGCAGCATTGTTAAAACGACCTGGATTGCAGAACTCACGATTCATAGTGAGCAATTTCGTAAAAAGGCAACTCCTGAATACAGAAGTTACTGTGATTTGAACGAGTGCTTGATGACTGCGTTGAGTAAAGATGGAACAGGGAAAATCATTGGCTCACTCTGGAGTGTGCGACAGCAATGCCCAGAGCCTTGATTTGTAAATATGTTGGACCAGGTTGGAACCACTTATCAAAAGTAAAAAGGTCACGTTCCCTCAGGTCGTTCAGTCGTGTCGAGCGTATTTTTCATAGCGGAACCGGAGTAATGCACCCAAACTGCTTGCACTATCTCGACGTTTGTATTAATTGAAGCCACTGGGCTAACCGTACATCACACGTCATTCACCCGAGTACATCAACAGCCAGGCGGTCTAGCACAAAAGGTGTTTCTGTCTCTTGTACTTGTACCCGCACAGCGATCACTTTATGGTGGCCGATTTTGAGCGGCCGAGTATGATTTACACCTTTACGATCATGCCAATTTTTTGCTGTCGGGTCATTTACACGTAAATACGAGGTGATTAAAACAGACATGCTTCTTGAGAAGGCAATGCTAAAGTGGCCGAAATATTATAATTAATCCCCACCGGCATTCAGTTGATCTTTGTCACGAATGCAATTGTAGAACTACAGTCTGTCTTACAAAAGGCATGGGAAAAGAAAGCGTGAGATGCACAAAACATCGATGTGGGGAAAATTTACGTTGTAGCAAATCGACCAGTCACCGTAAATATGTTAGCATAAAGTAATTTTCGTACCAAGGAATTTTGGTATATCCACATGAAGTATCGATTTTATACTATTCTGGTTCGTTTCTTTTCAGTGTCTGTAATCAATCTTGTAGGATAAGCTATGTTGTAATCCCTGTGCGACGTTGATATATGCGTGAAACTCACTGCAACAAACGGATGTAAATCAGAGGTTCAGCAAGTCACGTTTCGTGACCATACAAATTCCACTCCCGGAGAGTTGATTAATGTAAGGTTCTAACTCATCTCCATTAGCAATATCGTTAGAAGTACATCCCTAAGGAATTCATGTTTGACTTTGACGTACCAGGTATGTGGCGTTTAGCGGTTACACGATTAGCATAATATATCTGAGATAATTCGTTGCACCGCGTAGATTTGCATCTTACTATGAAATAACCGCAAGCTGAAAATCAAATTCTTTTCCACCCCGGTATCAGGGAAATAGCGTCGCGCAAAATCATACAACTACTATATTGTGTAGATACAGTATTTGCTATTAAGGCATATCCACAATTTTCTGGACTGCTCCATGTGGTATACAAAAACAAAATGTTGACCATTGCGTTAAGCAGGGGATATAGGCAATGAGGTCGTCTTATCGTGCGATCATAGTAAGCACAATATAACTTTCGCCACTGAGTATTAGTAAGTACGTACATTCCGAAATTGAGGGTGCAAATTTTGAGCTAATTTTGGAGTTAAAATGGATGATTACCAAAATCTTCCGAATTTTTAGAGTACACTAACTAATTTAACTGGAATTGCTTCGAAGTTTTCATTTTTCGCATAAAGTGAATATTAAACACTGAGCAATATAAGTGGGTCTTCAGGGGATCAAGTATTTATGTGAGCTTCAATGATAGAATGTGTATTCCAAATCCTAATCGTGAATTTCCAACCAATGCACCCAGCGTGTTTTACTGATCCGGTGGCTTAATGAAAATCTATCACATAATAAAAGGTTCCTCACTAGTTCTACTCTAAGCTCAGGCTATCTCCAACCGATGAGGCCGAATGAGAATGAAACCGAACTTGGGGCGCAGTGTTTCGATAAGGTGAAAGCGATACCCTTCCAGGTGTGTAGTAACCAATATTCCCTTGATAACACGTTAATATGTAAATGAACGCACCGTGCAATATTTACTTCTCATAACTACTAAGTTTAGTATTAATATAAAAGTTTAGCTTAGCACACATAAAATTCATACGAAGAAGTTCATCACATAAAGTCAGACAGCCATCAGACGTCAAATACATCGCTGTACGATAACTACATTTCCTAGTGAACTTAATGCCGTACGCATTCCAGCTAGCCATCGTAAGTTTGGAAGCTGTAACCCGAGTGTTAGCCGATCGTAACTACGTCCAGTTTCGTCGGTTGGTTAAGGTGGTATCCTGTCTTCTACACGGCTGTCACTTTGCCCTTCAGGGGATATTGAACGGCGCTATATCACATCTAGTAACTTAGCAACGTTGTGCGTTACCATCCCATGGGGCGTTGCGGGGTTACTACGGACCGGTCACATTCCATTTGCGGGTTCTGACCTCACAGAGGACAGATGGAACGTGTTCTGCTGACAATTCCCGAAAGGATGAAACCTTTGTACCGTGCTTTTATTAGCCTGTGATAGCTATCTGACTGAGTGTATATGTGATCCACTTCTAAGGTTAACCTGTAAAACATCCTACATCCTCCTTGTATACATGAACATGTCAAAACGTCGTCTGTATAAATGCTGATTTACAGCCTCCGAGGACCTAACCTGACTGCAATGTTACGAAATGCTAGTTGTGTGCAAAGAAATGTCGCTCGCTGACCAATGTAGTTGCACCTCGTGCCTATTTGTTTGGTGCACATTATAACGCAAACTGCTCCGTAGAATGCTAGTTAGAAATGCGGATGGTTGCGTTATAATAACTATGCAACTGAGGCAGTAAACCATGATGATTATTGTCAGCCTTCTCATAACCGCTCCTTTTTATTTTAACAGAACATGATGCGCGCACAAAGCGCAGGAAGGCCACATCATTTTCAAAGTGTTTGACTGTTGTCCAGCGTACTCAAACAATGCGAGATCGCTTCAACGGAGTGCCTATTATGCAGCACAGTGACACAGCATCATAACACCGGCATATTTTCCAAAGTTCCCATTGATAAATACCCTGTGCTTTTCATCTCAAGAACCTATCAAACGCAAACGCGTCAAAATCAGGTCCAACCAGAGACCACAAATGTATCCTATTTTCTTCACCAAATGACAAATCCGATTGTAATTTACACTGTGCAGATTTTAATGTTGTTTCCTTTAGCTAAACACCAACATTCATGTTGCACTTATAGCCGTACTGAAGCAACTGTGTGTGCAGAAACTGACTCACTCAAGTGATCGCAGTTTTAGTACGCTGCCAATAATGAAAAGAGGTTGTGTGCATGTTTTAACTGACATGTTGAAACTGATAACTTCTACTGCGGTTCGAACATTTTGTAATTGGGTTAGGGCTAAACTGTGTGCAGCATTAAAAATAATGGAAGGCTAACCAAAGCACATCTAGTGTGCCTACGCTGGAACTACGCTCTATCCGACAATGCTTGCCCCGGGTAACACTTAGGTACTATAATAGATGTGGCGAGACATCCCTCCACTAACAAGTAAGCTCTTGTAATACTTACACTTTGGAGTATGCGCAATAGCTATTAAAATAGCAATGTATTATTAACACACAATCCACTGTAGAGTTAAACAAAGCGCAGTTTTTGTCGCAGTTGATTTGCAAGCTTACAATGGTTAGGTTATTGAAAGAAATAACACTAAATCTCATGAATAATTAAATAACTTATTAGGACAAAGCATAACCACACAATGCAAAACATCCGATTGTTTCGTTTAGTGCTCTTGACACATATTTAACGATATCCAAAAGACGTTCCTGAAACAATCAACACCAGATTACCATAAGAACAAGTTTCCGTTTTTCGTTACAAGTCACACACGGTCATTTACCTTTGTTGATGCAAATGTGCTGGTTTCTAAAACAGGGTTTCATAATTAGCCCAGCAAATGGGACGAATATTTTTTCTGCAGTTTCACATGGTGCACTTTATCCCTAATGGGGTGGATAAATTACGACATACACGTTAAATATATATTTAATAAATGTACCAGAAGCAGCTCCCCATAAAGTGATGGATCAACAGTATAGCTATGGTCATGGTTAAGCATGAGTGAGTCGTGGATTCAAAAGCGTCCGCTTCATGAAGGCATACTAAATTCAACCTTTAGTTGCTGCTCGATTTTGTGAATCAGGCTTTTCCAATGGTTATATATTCCTCGGTCCACCCGAACTGGAAGTATTTGATTATTTCACTGGGAAGAAAATATATCATTGTTTTGTTAGTGTTAAGGAAATTAACAAATTTATTGCAGTATATTTCTCTATGCGTGGTGTGCGATTTTCCACATGGAAGTGCACCTGACGAGGAAGAAATCGGTCCAATTAACTGTATTGACACAGCACAGTTGGTTTAGCAAACTTAGTGGGAAGCCTCCGGGTTAATTTGTGTTGCAGTTCTAACTTAAACAGACAATATTGTCTTTTTGCTTGTGTTATTGTGCATGGTCATCCAGTTGTGATTCAGCTTTTTTCAAGGAAAGAAGTTCAAAGGCAAGCTGCTGGGAACGCTCCAAGTGGACGAAATGCTGAAAAAGCCTCTAGTGTTTGATTTTCCAGAGCAGTAATGTCACTCATCTGCACGTTTTCACAAGTGTCTTCGCCGTATATTAGGATGGGAACTGAAAGAATTAAAATGTTTGCATTTGGCACCAACTATGACATAATTTAGCCAGAAACCTTTTGGCTCGGAGAAATTGAATTTTGAGCAGTGTTGTGTGCAGAGATAAAAATTGAACGGTTCTATACGGATGTATTCATTATACAGTTTAACTGAAGCTTCAAGGATCAAACATCCATAGGGCTTGATCTGTGAGTCACTAGCTTAGAATTTTATCCAACGTGTCACACTATTCCTAGTTATTCGATGTAGTTTTGAACGGGCAACAATGATCTCTGCAGTTATTTTCGAACTATAGAAACAAACTTAATGTCGTTGGTAAAACAAATGGTCAGCAATTTTAAATAGACATCGTGAAATCGTTAATAATGAGTAGGAAAGGAAGGGCAAAATTAGCTTCCTTGAATGATGACACTAGTGATTGATTTCCTAGGGAGTAATGAATACTGAATACTGTATTATAGAGCAAGTAGAAATGAATTCTGTACAACTCTTTCGAAATATGGTGAACAACGTTATAAAAGTTGTCAACCGTGAACATCGTTGTCGTTCTCATGTGACAGTTAAAATATCTGACTCACGATATTTCAGGACCCAC